GTGATTTAAAATACCTGCTGTTATCTGATTGTGCCTGCACATCTATAAGTTTCATCTAGAGGGCTGAAGCCCATTTCCATTTGTCATTTTAATTTTAATTACAGTACACTACATAGAATTTAAATGTGATAATTTTCTTAATTTGATTTTTCTTGTTACGTGTCCCAATCTGTATCAGGAAACCTCTTACATATTAGCAAGGGCCTTATTCTCACTGGGAACGATATTTCTAAATCTGGCTTTTGCACTCTATTTAAATTCATAATTACTACATAGTTTCCTTTTGCTGACCAGATGTAATACAGATAGTAATAAAGATCTTAATGAGAATAACAGATTCTGTTTTCTGTATCTCATCCCCAGTCATTTCCTAGAAAAGAACTGGTGCGTATCTGTAAATTCTTATGTTTAAATTACAGTAATTAGAGGTGAATTTGAGAAAAGTGTCCCATTGATACAGTTACAGTGATTGATTCCATACGATTGCTAAAGTGTCATTCAGCAGGTCTGAACTAGCTTATCAGACAATATTACAGATAATACACTCACAACATCTGCTCATTTAAAGTTAAGTTGAGTCAAACAATATTATGGTGATGTAATTTAGAAAGGGCTTTCTCTCCGAGAAGAAGTAATTTTCGTTCCCAGTGAGAATAAGGCCCTTGCTAATATGTAAGAGGTTTCCTGATACAGATTGGGACACGTAACAAGGAAAATCAAATTAAGAAAATTATCACATTTAAATTCTATGTAGTGTACTGTACCTGAAGATGAAAATTAAAATTAAAATGACAAATGGAAATGGGCTTCAGCCCTCTAGATGAAACAGACAACAGCAGGTATTTTACATCACTGTGAAAAGTATATTATAACCTTCTAAAAGTTCAGCTTTTCTTTCTTGCCTGATAGTCTGGAGACATGATGCATGAAGGCAGCATACAGGAGTTTGTTCTTTCTGACTTGTCACAGGTCCAAAAGAGGATTATTCTGCTTCCTTACAGACAGACAGTAACTGTGTTTGTCCTTCAAGGAACCTTTGAAGATGCTGGTCAGCAGGAAGCTTTAGTCTGTGGTCGATGTGTTTATCCTGTAGCAGCCATGAACCAGATCAGATGATGTGAGGATTCATTTTCTGAGTTGTTGCTGCAGAGCACAGTATCCCTCTGCGACTCGATCTAACTCACTCTGTTGGCTATGGAAGAAATTGATTTAAAATGACATCTTCTCGGAGAGAAAGCCCTTTCTAAATTACATCACCATAATATTGTTTGACTCAACTTAACTTTAAATGAGCAGATGTTGTGAGTGTATTATCTGTAATATGTGTCTGATAAGCTAGTTCAGACCTGCTGTGTTGTTAAAGCCCCTGATAACTAGTATTCCCTTTAAAAATATTTGTTTAAAACTCTTAAACTGCTTCATCAGGACTGTGGTTGTGATTTTATTGGTGCAAGGATGTGGCTTCACCTTTTGTCCCACTGAGCCCTGCCAACTTTGAACCAGGGAGAAATGTGCAGACAAAAACACATTTTACAAGAGAGAATTCAGAAATTATTTAATTTGGCAAAAAAGTGTATGTTCAAGTAGGACCCAATAATTCATACTAAGAAGCTCACTGAGCATATTAGACATATCAAACAGGATTACAAATGTACTACAGAGCCTGTAGAGTCCTGAAAGATTTTTTTTCTTTTAATATTGTTTGCACAAGATAATAACATGTTTGCACAAGACAAAATATCTGTGTGCACAATTAGGGGCTCCGTACAAATGAGTAACAGACGAAAAGGTAAGAAACTGAGAGGAAGACATCACCATTATTACATTTCTGTTCTGTTAGCTTGTGCTGTGCCTCTTTTTTCAGCTCACCACAAACAGTTAACTGACCTGGCTGTCAGGGTCACCAGGCATGCCCAGTACGGGTGCTGGTGGTCTTGGGGGGGTGATGGGTGGGTGTGATGGGGTCACTGGAGGTCGTGTGGCCAAACGAGGTCTTTCACACACCTCACACAGAATACTGCTGGCTGCATTCACCATGGTACAGCTCTTACACTGCCACTCTGAGAAGAACACACACATAAATAAGTCAGTTCATTGTATTCACATTATTATCAGTCACAATCATGTCCTCAATGGCCATTACTTGCTTTCATAACAAGTAAATAAGCCGTGGCCATTGTCATGTGACAATAAAAGTGAAAATAGCGACAGGCCAGAGAAAAAGACAGAAAGTGTCCAAAGTAAAGAATCACCCGTAAAAAGGTAATGTTAGAATTTAAAGTAAATCATGATTGCTAGTTGAGATGAAGGCTAGCAAATGCAAGGCACAATTCTTAGTTGTAAATGTATAACCGTGCGTTAATAAAGTTCTCCAACTGGTTAGTCCATAAGTGGTTTTACAGTGAAAGGAGTTACACAGCTGACTCCGGTACTGAGGGCACCAAGTAAAAGTATTTCTTATCAGATGAATTGATAGAATACTCGATTACTAAAATTATCGAGGTTGTTTGTGTTCTCCTGTATTTCCAGGAAGTCAGTGAATGTGTTGAGCCTGTCACTGAATGTGTGACATGTGTAAAATCCTGTCAATCATTTATTTACAGCCCACAGTAGCCTGTATTACGCCGACGGCTTCAGAGCGATGTGTGGGCGATCGAAAATCTGCAGGCCGGTTGAGAGCTGCTTAACTTGGGCTAGAAGAGCAGGGAGCAGCGCTCCAGCTTTTGGACAAATAAACACCCGTGGTTGGACTGGATTATGCTCTGACAACTACGCCGTTTGCTCGAGGGAGGAGCTCGGAGTGAACTAACATTACTTGGGATTACAATGTTGATTTATCTTCACTCGAGCTTCTCAGCAGCTAGATTCCGTGCACATCCGGTTCAAGTGTTGTTAGCGTCGTTTGCCACTACTTCATATTTTATATAAAAACCGGACAAAACTGGACATAGCGGGGAGAAAAGAAAGCGAGGAGGTTGAACTACCTGGTGAGTTCAGAAAACATGTGTACGTAACTTTATTCCAGCTATCGTTGTACTTTACTGTGACCAAGTTAGCATAGCCCTGATCGACCCGAACTCCATTCAGAAAACAAACATTTTAGAAGTTGTTGTCCTGCTGTCTTCCTGAAAGACCTGACAAAGCATGAATTCATATTTTTAACAAAACTGCATCATATTGTAGTTATTTCGGCATCAGTTTGATCCGTTTATTGCTATTTAATTTTGCACAGCAAAATGTTTACTTTGGGTTCACACAGCTGTAGTAATGGCGAGTTGTGTGTGAACACTCCAGGGATGTCCAGCGATAAAACCACCGCGAGGTAAGCGTTGCATGGATTAAATTTGCGTTTGGTCTGAATGCACAGTAAGAGCTATTGTCCCTGACATCACAGCTCCCAGGGACGCACAAACCCCTCCACCGTTAAGGTGGTGATTCTGAAATTATCATGAGTGCATACTTCAATGAACACAACAAGCGTAACAACTTGCCCCAGTGTAACAGCAGGGGCAGTTAGTCAAGGGTAGATGCCATAGATTTATAGATTAATTTGCTTTTGTCTCATTTTCTATTTCCATAAGAAACTAGAACGTAGTAGAATAAAGGAGATGGGATGGGATGTAATAAGAGACAAAACAGACCAGTGATGGTGGCAGGGGGAGATTCATCTGCTTTACAGCTGATCGATTCCAAGCGAGGGCGCTCACACTCCTCACACAGCACATCCTGGACAGAGTTGACTTTAGTGCAGTGAAGGCAATTCCAGGTGGAAGAACTGAAACACAGGATGAGGGTTATACTTTAATACCAATTTGTATAAACAGAATATACCATTAGCTATCACACCATATCCATACATATTGATTTTGTTCACACATTTCTCATCTCACAGTTCACTCAGTTCCAATACTTTGAAGTCCGCTGTCTAAAGTGTCACTAGACTTTCCTGTGGAGCATTGGCTGTAGAACAGTAAGATCAGAGTATTCTCAGTTTATATTGCCAGCTACTTTTGATCCTGACCTGTGACTATTCCTGTTTTGGGATGATGATGATGATGATGGGACAGCTGTCCGACGGTGGTTGGCCCTCTCAGGGTTGGAGTGGTACAGTCTGTCACAATCTGAGCAGAGCCCCTGGAGGCAAGTGAGGCAGTGGGCAGAGATACGGAATATTTGACAGATAGCGCAGTTTTCTGAAACAGAGATAACAATCCACTGTGCAAAACACTTTCACAGTATTGTCTACTATAACCTATAATGTGTGAAAGAAAGTCTCAGCAACTGACTCTCTATAACCTTTAAATTTCCGGATTTGCTTAGTTGAATAGCCACAGACGTTTGGTCGAGGTCAAGGAATTAAATTGTTTCTAGGATATTTATTGAATACTGTCAACACACTCCACTTGTCTGTTCAACTGCAGACACTGAGCAACTAAAGGTCCAACTCCTCTGCTCATTAAACGCCCGCTCCTTAATGTCTAAATCTATCATTATGTGTGATATAAGTAACTATAATACTATTATTTTCTATGGTGGCATTTTCAAAGGAGGAGTTAAAACACACAAGAGGGAGTAAGGGATTGATATAGTTAAGGAAGTAACTGTGTTCCTGGATGGTAAAACGACACTGCATTAGTACAGTTGCTTAAGTATATCTATGGTATGTAGTTGCTGTGGTTGGCTAGCAAATAACAGGCCTCAGGGCTGTTAGGAGGTTGAATGTTCTAGGTGAGCTCTTTAGCGTGAGTAAGTAGCTGCTAGGTGGGCGTATCAGGAGGTTACTCTTGCTTTGCTAGGTATTGCTAGTGAATTCTAAAGAGCAACGCACTGGCAGTAAAAACTGTGTCAAAACGCCCATGCACATTGTTTTCTAGTACACTGTGGTTTTAATTGCCTTGATGCATCAGGATATGCCACTGTCCTATTTTCCAAAAAAGCAGCTATTTATCACAACCACTCCCTGGCACATCCAGGGCACAGTACTTAAATAGTACATATTCTGTCTTCTGTGTGCTACGGGCATCAAATGATGTGCATCAAATGTGCTGTGCATAGCTGCCCTTGGAGCCTTCTTAGGTGGTTAGTTGAGCACAATTAGCAATTAATTGAAATGCATCTTTAAAAAAAAATAAATAAATAGTGTTAACACCTCAGCTTCTAAAATATGAAACCTGTTACCTGCAAGAAACTTTTTCATCTCTTAACAATCATGTTTTTTATCAACTTTATTAATAAAGCACTTTTTAAAACCAAATTACAAATAGTTTTACAATAAAAACTACTAATACAAGCACATACAATGCTAAACAAAGATATACAGAAGAATATTTTCAACAAATACCATCAGTTAAGAAAAAACCATAAGAGAAAAGTGAGTCTTAAGAAGAGATTTAAATGAGGACGTTGACTTTACTGTCCTGAGATCCTGTGTGATGGCGTTCCATAGCTGAGGGGCCCGGAGAGTAAGGGCCCCATCACCTTTAGTGGCAAGAATTTGGTACCATTAATAGGGCCCTGCCAGTGGATTTTAAGCCGCGATCAGGCTCATAGGGAGTTCACAGATGCAGATCACAGATATAAGCTGAAGTGTGACCATTCAAGGCATTGAAAATTAAAGAGCAGTAAATGAATCTGTATATATGTATGTATGTATGCATACATACATGTATACATGTATATATGTGTCTCATACAGATATGTCTGTATATATCTTGCATTAAATTTGTCTTCCGTCTAAGTGCAGAATGCAATGATGCTGAGAAGACAACGTTGGTATGTGGGCTTACAAGAAAAACTGTTCTGACACGCGTAATATGTCACCAGTGTGTGGCTCTTTTTACATTCATAGCACAAATACAATAGAGTGCCACCATGATGTAGACACATTAAACACTAATCTACTGACATAATCAAGTGGTCAGCGGTTTCTCGTCTCACCTGGGTGTTTGTTTGAGGAAGTGGAAAAGACCTGAATGGACCTGAGACTTTGGTGGTTGGAGGACAGAGAGTGGCCACGGCTGCCCTCTCTGGAGGAGTGATGGTGCAGGGGGAAAGCTAGAGACTTGGTCTGACTGTCTGAATGGCATGAAATGGAGGGGGAATTGTAGGCCACAGCGTCAGTGTTGAGACCCACATCCTAAGAGGAGAGAAGAGTGGGTAAAAGCTCACTTGAAAACAGGTCATCAGAAACTTCAAAATAAGAGATGGTTCATTCTGAGTAATGTAATAATACATTTTTTATCAGACAAGATGGCTCTATCACCTCACCAGCCCATAGTACGAGGATAAAAAAGGAGGATAATAAAAAGGGTATATAATTATAAGACTGGTCTCATAACTAATTCAATATTAAAATCATAGGGGAGCGCTTAAATAATATATCAGACAATTTTGGTATAATTCTTTAACCTGACAAAAAGGCTTGCAGGCCTGAAGAGGCAAAGAAATGGAAAATAACTGCCCTCATAAGAGGTCTTTACTTTCCTCACATTAAAGGATAAGCTCATGGCTGTCTTAAAGCAAAAAGGGAGGTGCCCATATGAACATTGAAAGAGGTTTTGCTTCCTCCTGTTCATATCACTCATTAAGAGATCCCTTCATAGTGCACTTTAAATGTAAGTGATATAGGACTAAATCACCAAAAGTTTATCTGAAGCTAAAATGTGGCTTCAGCAGTCCAAGGTAGTTAAATCAAGTGGCTATCTTCCAGTTACAGCCTTCTTGCTTAGAGGCAATTTTATACTAAAAAGACTAACTTTGGATGATACTCACTAGATTTGACAGACTAATAACAGACTGCTGAAGGCTCATTCACTTAATACAATACATATCAGGTTTGAAACTGCTTTACTTGATGTACTCTTCAAATGAAATGCGTAACTGAAGGGGTGGTCACGGGGCAGTGGAAAATACACATGCATTTTGTGTGAGAGACCTGTGGTCGATTTCCACTGCAGCACATCCACCATGTGTGTGTCCCTGAGGCAAACACTTAACCCCTAGTTGCTCCAGAGGCGTGTGACCTCTGACAGACGCTTTGGATAAAAGCGTCGGCTAAATTAATAAATGTCAGATTTGATGGTGGTACCTTGTGTCTCAGTGTAGGGATGATTCTCTCATAGAATTCAGGGTGGGGATGAGCCTCCTGGGATCAAACCAATAACAAGTTAATAATGCCTTTTAATTCAAGCCAAGCAAAAAGTACAATGCACCACGTACACAACCTGTACATATATAAAAATAAAGCAGTTTTTGACTACACAATCACCATATCAGCTTCTGAAACATTATCCTACAATCATTACAACAATAATTGCTGTATCACAACCCGACTGACTGGGTTATCCCATTTGCACATATTTGGTGATGTCAAAGCTCCAAACAAACTTGTGTTGAGATCGATGAAGTAGCACAGCTGTAGCTGCATTTATGCAGTTCAGGTGGTGCAGTGCAATTAGTTCAGTAAATGTGAAACTGAGCTATTTATGTAAAAACTGTAATTCGTAATATTAAGGGTCTGTGCTGAGTGAGTCTTACTAATGTCCTCCAAAAGTTCTTACAAAGTCCTTTCCTTTCAGAGAATACCTGCAACCATCACAAAGCAGCAATCCTCTGTTGCTTACATGGAGAATAAATAAACAATAATACGTCATTATTACTGAGGCACTGACTATTCATATACATCCTTTATTAGAAAAAAATCTACTGACATTTTAGTCAACTATTAGACCATCTGGACTGTATTCAGTGCGCAGGTGCTATTCTGAAGTCAGGAGTGTTCACACTTGTGTTGCCACACAGTGGTCTGTTACATATTATACAAAATAGAAATTTTTTAAAGTCTTCTTTGGCTCTACAGCAAACTAGGGAAAGTCTGACGCAGTAACAACTTTACTGGAGCAAACAGAGTTATAAGGAATATTCATGCCACTTCTGCAAACCCACGGAAATCAATAAAGCTTAAGTAGCTAATAAAAATGCAAAAAATACACGCACACACACACACCTTAATAAGCATTTCTAGTTCCATCCTCAGGCTCATCACTTCAAGTGTTACTGCAGCAACTCGGCCCACATCTGGATCCGTGACATCATCAGGGAAGCTGAGCCCATCTGGCTGCTGATTGGAGTAACCATAAAGACAGAGCACTGCTCGTCCTCCCTGGGAGTGGAAAGAACAAACAGGACGTGATGTGAACACAACTTTTAATGTTTACTTTCCCAAACAGTTAAGAATCAATTTAGACCTTTCTAGGTTTGTTACATAAAATAAAATGAGAGTAAAAGGGGACAGGATTAAAAGAAAATGTTGTTTAGGGACAGGGTAAAGACATATTTAGGACAAGATCAGGACAAGATTGGAAGGTCCGTAAAGATTTGTTAAAATGCATTTGTATTACTTCCTATTGTTTTACAATCTTTGGACTACTTAAGTAGCATATTTTTATAGAGCACTTGCTACACTCTATAATGTGTTTTTGTTACCTGAATACCATCAACAGTGGCTCTGAACACTGGGTTGTTGTGTTTCACTGTCCTCCAATACTTTGGCCTGTTGGGATTTGTCAAGTTACAGCCATACTTTTCCAGGATGTTCAGTGCTGTAGACAAGCGCTGGACAGACGCAAGGGTCTGAAGAAGAAGGAGAGAGAATAGTTGATTTGGCCACAAGTTGAATAGCTTTAAGGTTTAAGTTTAATCTGAAATAGAAACATGCTATTAATCTCAAATCCACCCATAATCTCAGTTAGGCTCTGTAGATCTGATTGGGTGTAGATTTGTATTGGTCTAAATATAAGGCAGATCTATCACAACATTGTTCACATTCAAAATGTAAATCCCATCTTTTCTCCTCTACCTTCTCAACAAAAGCAAGTAAGAGCATTTCCCAGAATGTCAAACTATTCTATAAAATGTGATAATACATTTAAAATATGTAAATATGGTATATGTGTTTCTTATCGGAGACCTCTCCACCTAGGTCTCTCCCCATAACTCCACATACATTACATACATACATTTTAAACATTTTAGTGATTTTCCACAAAACTTCAAATGAAAAGGAACATTCATCAATAAAAACTAAATTGAAAGAATTGAAAGCATACCTCGATGATCCCATATACACAAGTGTCAAGCTAGCATTTAAAGAGCAACACAATCAATGGACATAATTGTGTCTCCTACAGTAAAAGACATTTAAAAGGATATTTTAACACATCAGGTTGCTTCAATCAAATTCAATATCCAGTGCACCAACAATGTTGTCAGCAATTTAATGAATCAAATGGAACAGCAGTCCAAGTCACTTTGTAGTGCAACATTCTCTGCAAAAGCCACTTCGCTCTGATAAGACAGCAAATTAGCGACAAACGTGGCAAGCTAGAGAACGTCGAGGCTAAACTGGCAGATCTTAAAGATAGATAAAGCCACATGTGTAAAATGACTACGTAGATCAGTGACACCAAGTCTACGATGGACACAAACTAGCCAACCAACTACTATGGACATCTGATGTTAGACATTGGCTTTGAATGCTCTATCACTCATTCATCATATTCGACTGTTTAAAAGAAGTTAACGTAGCCACTGTGATGTCACACATTGATTTGCCTGACAGGTCACCATGGTAGCGACTTGTACAGCATACTCTGCTTCATTATCAATTTTCCTCTAAATTGGTCCATAATTTGCTAAATGAACATCCTGCTGTGTTGTCTTGAAACTAGCGATTGAGACCATAAAGTCATGAGGAAAGTGTTTACTGAGGTAATAAATCAAATGAGAAGTAGGGTCAGTTTCTCATATTCCATGCAATCTGACTTGCAACCAGTGGACTCACCCCCTGCTGGCCATTAGAAAGAATGCAGGTTACCCTTGCTCATGTTCCTTATTCTCAACATCGGTTGATGGCACAGAATGTATAAAAGAGGTGGACGTAGCCCATGGGTCTGAACATTGAAGTGATGTATTTATCATTGACGTCAGTAGGAGACTCAAGCACATTTAAAGAGGTTACTTTGTCAAATACCTACGTGTGTTGACTCAGCAGGGAGAACAATAAATGAAAAAAGGTGATCTACAGGATAATACATAATTGAAAATAATACTGAATGCCTGAGAGCCTTACAGAATTATATTCTATTATACCTTTTATATTTTGAATTCTCACCTGGAGCCTGATTTCTTTGTTTTCCTCTACACTAAATGTGATCTACATTTGGTAGATCCCTGGTAAATATTTAACAAACAAATAAAGAGCTATTAATTCTACTGTAATGGGCATTAATAATTCTCCTGTTATCTTATTGACTTTATTTTGACGTCTGTTGAATTCTGTTATATCAATGCTTCCTATCCTATTATCAGATCACTATCTTGTCACGTGCAAAATATTAAATTCTCCTGCAGAGAGATGGCATTTTTCCTACTATCGGAGGTCAACAATGGCCTTTGGTTGGAATCCATCCAAGTTCTTTTCTTTTCCCGTCTTCTACACTTTAATGAGTTAGGTAGATTTAAAGGACATAACTGACCTCCAGCAGTAAAACTTTCATTGAGAATTGAATGAAGGACCAGTATCCCAGGCTCAGGATGATCCCTGGACTCATCAACAACTCATATAGGGGACAAAAGAATAAAGGAACTGAGACTACAATGCAAAATTAAATGTACATGAATTGATATGACATGCCTAGTTACTGATACGAAACAGAGTCAACAGGCTAATATTGATGCAGGATTAACAGAAACTAAACTAAGAGGAAGTGTTTACACAGATTCCTCAATTCTGCCTGTTCTGGGGCTCCCCCCTCCTCTTCTCATCCCTCTCGGTTAAGGCAATGCACATTACTGACATGTATTGATTTTATTTTACTATTTCAATTGCTGTGCTTATGCTGTAAGTATATGCAGGGGTCTACAGCTTCGGGGAACATTATGAAATTCAGGGGAAGCTCTAAAATATACTAATTTTGGTGCCAGTTTTTTTCCTGTATAAAGGGTGAATAGTAAAGCACTTGTCAATGTGTGTGTTTATTCTGGCATAACAATTTCCGATAATTTGTGATTGCTACTGTGAGCACCACTAGAGTGAGAAAATTATGGAAAACAGTAGTTTTATAAGGTATGAATGTAGAAATGAAAAAAACCTAGCCTTGGGCAATTTGGATTCTTCAAAGCATAAATAATAAAACAGATTCAGATGCAGAAATAGATTAATTATTTTATTAATCTGAATAAAAATGAATGAGTCACTCTCTGTAATCCACATGTGGTGTTTAAAGGAGAAAGCTGTGAATGTGATTAACCATGATTGTCACACACTCAGACATCACCTATAGTGTCTGATAATGTATTCTTTCTCACCAAGGATGAGGCAGTCGGCATGCATCCCACACGGCATTCACACTTTACAACACGGGACATTATTATGAAACCAGCACAGATGTTTTGGTTCCCAGTTTTCAGGGCTAGATTATTAGAAGTCAACACAAATTCAGATGAATTCTGGTTTGGTTATCTTTGATCTAGATCAAAGATAACCAAACCTAGATCAAAAAAGGGTACATACGCAGTCAAATATGTTTGTGAGATGCCTGAAAAACCTGGTGAGAGACTTTGATGAAATCTAGTAAACAATTAGACCATGGGCCAAGGATAGAGAGGCTAGTTTATTGTTGTTTAATAAGTTATCTCAACATTTTCACTGTTTACTTATATTGTATTCAATTTTTTTCATATTTTCTGTGATCATTTTGATACAAATGAAAACATGTTCCATTAATAAAATAGCTCTGCGTTCACGTTTGTATTGCAGAATGCGGTATTGCCTGGGAACAGGGACAAAGTATCTACAGTTACAGTCTTATTAACATCATCATAAAGTGCATTACAGGGAGTCCATCCATCCATTGTCAACCACTTATCCCAGCTTACATCGGGCGAAAGGCGGGTACACCTTGGACAGGGCATTACAGGGAGTGATTATGTAAATATGGGCAACAAACAGCAACTTATTTGGATTTCATTTTAATATTGTCTCTATTTATCTACATACAAATTAGAAGTGGGCGATATGGTCAAAATCTTCTATCATGGTATATGTAATCAATATCACAGTAACGGTATATATTACAGTTATTGTTCTGTAACTTAAAATAACTATAATATACTTAATTACATTTGATTATTTTCTTATTTTATTTGGTACTTTCAGACAAACAAATACAACTCCTCCTGCTATGTATTGACAATTTCACTCTGCTTCTCCATTTTCAGCTGCTGTGGCTGCGGTTTCCATATCCTAAACCTTGGATTTGCACACATTAATCAATGTTTTTAATCTATTTTTTTCCACCAACGGAATAATAGCTTGAGACCATGTGGTTGGGGATCACAGCTTTCTCACCACATGCCAACCAGACAAGGTATAAAAATGTTCGTTGACAGAAAGGCTGCAAGTTAGTTTTGTGAAAATGACTAAGATCGAGTTAAAAGTCATGATCAGTGAAGGCCTCCTTCATGAAATACCCTGAGTTGTACATGTTTTTCAGATCTAGCGGCAGAGCTGTAACAGAGATCAACGGTTATCACAACACTTATCAATAGGCAACAAAACGACAAATGCTGTGGTCAGTGACAGCAGTTACAGCATAACAAATCCAATATGTATTTTATTTTGCAATGCACATTGATCGGCATCACTGTCAATTTGCCAGGTTTAGCTAAAGGTAACCAACAATCCCAATATGGTCTCAGGATGGATGTTAAAGGTATTTCCAGGTGGGAATGTTGTATGTGCACTTGTTCTCGCTCACCTCCTTCCGGTTGCTGCCAAAGCTGTTTTCTATGACCATGGTTTCTGCAGCGATGTGGCGGTATTTGGAGCAGGGCGGTAAAGGCAGATTAGCCATAGCCATTACCCCGGCCCGCACCTCCACCACCCTGCCTCCAGAGTACAGGCACACTTCAGCCCGACTCCGCACCTCCTGCAGCTGCTCCGACAGAGACGGCATTCTACACACACAGACACACACATGCAGAGTCAGTGACTGACATTCGCATACAAAAACTATGGTTAAAACCATACCGATACAGTGAGTCACATTTCTTTTTAAAGATTATCATATATCTACATATCAGAGTCTGAGAATTGCCTCACAGTAGGCCTGGGCGAAAAATCGATTGAATGAATTAATTCGAATTTTTTGTTGCGGGCGATTTAAAAAATAAGTAAATCGAGTTTTTGTGTAATAGCACATTTTTGGCTCCCCGGGGTTTCCGTAGTGTTCGTTTCCCATAGCGACAACATCATACACTAAACAGCAACAGCAAGCGACAAAATGGCTACCGGTGAGAGCGGGAAGTTTGTTCCCAAGAAAGGAATAAAGTCATCTGTTGTTTGGAACTGGTATGGGTTTGCTGCGACAGATGTGGAACAACAGACACCACGCTGCAACATTTGCCTAAAGCCTATCGCAGTGAAAGGCAGCAGCACCACAAACCTATTCCAACACCTGAAACAGAGACATCCAGCCGAATATGAAAAATGCCAGTCTCTCCGCGATGAACAAAGCCGCACTGACCAACAAACCTTATTGCTTTCCTTAAGTAGGGGGGGAAATCGGAAAAAATCGTAAATTGAATTAAAGTAAATAAAATCGGAGATTTTATTTTTAGGCCATATCGCCCAGCCCTACCTCACAGTTTGGTTTAATTTCTCGATTTATCTGTGGATAGAAACAGTGGCTTTGTGGGGCTGTACTTAGGCACTGCTATGAGCTAAATGCTAACACCCTGTGATGTTTAGCAGGTATGATGTTGACCGTAAGTTGAATGTTGACCTATGGTGCAGATACGGTTCAGAAACATTTTCATATTACAGCTAAACAGTACACTAAATGTTCTGAAAACATTGAAGAGGTGAAATAGTCAACGGAGTAACAGAATCTTGATTCATATTTATTCGCCACTGCCTAGATTTACAGTTTGATCTGAGTGTCATGAGCCTAGTTTGTTGTTCTCTATGTCCACAAAAGGCCTATTTCTCTCAAATATTGTTCACAAATCTGTGTTAGTGAGCTCTTCTCCTTTGCCAGATAATCCATCCACCTCACAGGTGTCATATCAAGATGCACGGGTGTGCTTTAAGCTGGCCACAATAAAACGCCACTCAAAAATGTGCAGTTCCTTCACACAGCACAATGCCACAGATGTTGCAAGTTTTGAGGGAGCGTTCATTTGGCATGCTGACTGCAGGAATGTCCATCAGAGATGTTGTCCGTGAATTGAATGTTCATTTCTCTATCATAAGCCGTCTCCAAATGCGTTTCAGAGAATTTGGCAGTACATCCAAACGGCCTCACAACCAGCATCAACCAGCAAGATCGCCTGAGATCAGCCACCCGGGCAGCTGCTTCAACAATCAGTTTGCATAACCAAAGAATTTCTGCACAAACTGTCAGGAACTGTCTCAGGGAAGCTCATCTGCATGGTCGTCGTCCTCATCGGGGTCTCGACCTGACTGCAACTTCGCACAGCCGCTGAAGAGGAGTGGAACAACACTCCACAGGCCACAATCAACAACCTGATCTACTCTATGCGAAGGAAATGTGTTGCACTGCGTGAGGCCAATGGTGGTCACACCAGATACTGACTGGTTTCTGGACCCCCACAATACAGTGAAACTGCACATTTTCGAGTGGCCTTTTATTGTGGCCAGCCTAAGCCACACCTGTACAATACCCATGCTGTCTGATCAGCATGTTGATACTGTATGTCACACCTTTGAGGTGGATGGATTATCTCGGCAAAGGAGAAGTGCTCACTAACACATATTTTGACAGATTTGTGAACAATATTTGAGAGAAATAGGCCTTTTGTGTACATAGAAAGTCTTAGATCTTTAAGCTCAGCTCATGATGAATGGGGGCAAAAACAAAAGTTTTTCGTTTATAATTTGTTCAGTATGGGTAGACAGGTAGGCAGGCCAGCCAATCATTTCTTTAGGACTTAAGGAAATTATTGTCCATGCTTATACAGTCCTGTGGCAGCAACAGATACTTTATTTTTGTCATTTTTGAGTCAGAGCATAAGGTCAAATCACAAAACAATCACACGTTGAAACCATCATTAAAATGCTTCTGAAACAATGCGTAGATGTAAGCTATGAAGCTTGCCGACACGTTGTTTCCACCCGAGGATCACTGGATATCCGTGTTAAAGTCTGCGGTGTGCCCAATGACGGGGATGCTGCTGTTGTTGCCTACCTCTGGTCGGAAGGAGCAGCTCCCACCGTCCTCCCTCAGCAGCACGCTGATTTTATGCACAACGAGCTGCAGAACCACGGCGTCCCAAATGACGTAACGTGAGCAGTCTCACATTTTTACTCTACCAGTAGTGTAAAAACCCACTGAAACTACAAAATGGCAGTGACTGATGGCCAGTGTATTATAATCCCAGCAGAAACACACCGGGGCTCTCTCCTTACAGGCTGGAGCAAAACATGGACGGACGCAGCGTAGGTGACGTCACCCGTAGGTTTCTGATCGCACGTTTTATTGCTACGTCATTTATGCATCAATTGCAGCTTGTTCTATTTGTCTATATTTACCTATCATTTATTAATAGATAGTTAAGACTCAGGTGTATGTAGTTATCTTACAGTTGGAATTACACTTAATTCCACATACACCACATACAGCCTATATTCACATGTACCTTAATAAACACTATGTATTATTAAGTTATTTTATTCAGCATATTTTAAAAGTTATTTCCTGATGCCTTTATTTAGATTAGACATGTGTTTTTAAATTGAGACTGTCTGAAAATCTTTTTAAAGAACGTCCAGGAATTAATTTACAGGATGGAAAGTTCTTGTCTGCCATGTGTGTAAAATGGAATCTATATGGATGGTATGTCTACTCTTCATGTGATGGTGTTAGAGGTGGTTATAAGTAGAGCCAATAATATTTACTGTCCGCTATTCTTATGATGGCTCTGATCTTTTGCATCCATCCCCTTAGCCCCCCATCCCCACCCATGCATAAGCTACCGACCAGGTATAGCCAGGAGACTAAATGTCAGATTGTAACCCTCTAACCCACACACATAAATTTAATTACTATTTTTTAAATTTACTTTAGTGCAAACACAGAAAAAATAAAATAAACAGCTGTGTAACAACCATAGTGCGTAATAATTTACGAATGAAGCAGGAGAGAAAGTCACACTGAAGGTGCTGTTATTGACGATGTCAGTCTTTGTCTGCTACCTGTAAACCTGGACATGCTGCACATGAAGTGGTTCTGATATATCACTGAAATTTGACTGTGAAAGGAGAAGACATATTAAAGAAGAGGGACTGACTGAGGAGTGTAACTGAATAATCTGTGGATGAAGACGAGGAGGTCCCAGATATTTCAGCATCTAAAGGTGATGTGTACATGACTAATGTGATTATTATTTTTATAATATGGAAGCAGGTCAATGTGGCCCTAACTTTTAAAGCTTAACTCTCAATATGCTATTGAGTCATCTTTAACAATGGATTATTTTAAAAACTCATCTTAGCCTGTCTTTGTATTAAAAAGACAAAAAAGGTAAAAGTAAAACCTCCTGAAAAATATAGCAACTATAGCTGTCAGATAAATGTAGTGGAGTAGTAAGTAAGTGTAAAGCAGCATATACAGATGTTAACTTAAGTACTGCACTTACTAAACATACTTACTTTTTACCACCTGTGTTTGTGCCATAGACTATATGGTTTGTGCATAGTTTAGTGGCGCAAATTTGTAATAATCTTATCTCCAACATGCAGCGAACCTGAGCTTTGGGGGCCACTTTGCCAAGTTTGTAACCCAGCCTTGCCTGCTCCACAAAACATACACACATGCATACACACATAGCACAAAAATAATCAAGACAAAAGTAGGTCACATGAACACATTTATTTGTCTTGCATATTCATAACTGAATCAAAAGTCTCTATCAATCACTATCATTATGTTGACTTGCAAATAATGGAACTGACTAATCGGCACACAGGCTACCCTTAAGCAAAGAAGGTAGATGAGGATGGAAGAGTGGAACATTAAAGAAACAATAAAATAAGGAGAGCAGAAGCAGGTTTTTAGTGTCTGGTCTGTGTGATCGTATGTTTAGCGAACTGTACAAAACCTAAATGATTACAACAACAAATACAAATGGAGATTGTGTGACATTTTTCAGATGATTGTGTGGAGATTAGGTTGTGCATAGGTCCCTGATCTGCAGCAGTGGCAAACCAACACTTTCTGTACCACAGAGCCATGGCTAAGCAAACAAACCAGGCAGAGCTGTACTGTTCTGAAGTAGGTGAACCAGGGATGGACAGTATGCACTCTTCTACTTAATGATTCTCATCTGAACAGAGCACACCATGGCTACCCTGTTTCCAAGCTGTAGTCTGTAGGGTTTGACAATGTTCTTCAGTTATTTAATTAACTTAATATTAGTGTGTATATTTACTGTCAATTGAATTATCTTATGTATGTCATGACCATGTGGAGTCATTTTGGAGGGTTTTTTTCCTGGTTATTTTCAATGGTTTTGTGAATGGACATGGAGCTGTAAGGTAGCATTTCTCAGCTTTAGCTGCATTGTGCTTCACCAAGTTAAAATATTCTCCATCAGCAGCCACTATCTAAGAGGGAGCCCATATGTGATCAAATGACTGTACACTTTTCACTGTCCTAAACCCACATCCTCTGCTTTTAACAAGTTGTATGTACACCATTTTATCAATGTTGTCCCCTTTAGACAGCTAATGCCAAAGGCACATTGTCGGTGTTGCATTATGTTTAGGTAGTTTTGGAGGTCACGATTAGGTTGATTTTATTTGGTTAGGATTAAGATAAAGTTTTCATGTTGTAGCTTATTTTATTGGAAAACCCCTTTCTAGTTGAGTCCACATGGTCCGCTCATTTACATATCAAGCAAACAGCATTATGTTTGTTTTTAGAATTTACCGCTGTGCTCAGTAAATCAATGTTATCTAATCAATAGCCTTGACTGGGCTGCTTGGGATACTGGCTCTCAGAAACACTCTGTCTGAATAACAGAAATTAGCACTCCCCATCATTGCACTTACAAGACTTTGAAAAGGAGTCATGTTTTTATCTCACACTGCATCTCTAAAAGCTACTGTAGAAAGGATGTCACTAGTGTCCCTATTGTGATAATTTTCCACACACTGTCGTAGCTATTGAATGTCACTGTCTTTTTAGTGCAGTGGCGCAGCTGAAAGTGATCCAAGCTGAACTCACTACTGAACGTAACTGAAGCCACTGCTTTCCACAAAAAGTTTCATTTGCTGAAAAAAAAGACAATGTGGCACAGTGAGGTTAGAACCTTTAGCTATATTCAATGAAAACTAGATGACTGACACTGAAGTTGATTAGAGAACAACACAAAAGCTGTAAAGGTATGCAAAACCTCAGAACCTGAGGATTTTAAAATATTCACTAAACAAAGATAAACCAGAGAGAAAATGAGAACAAACATTTAAAAAAAAAAATAATCTGGCCAGATAGAGGATTTTTTTTTTTTTCACCTTCTCATAAATTGTCTATTTATGAAAAGGCACCCATTTTAAAAATATACTGAGATGTTAACAACAACCAAGTTTCTTTTATAAAAATGCAATACGTTTTAACTGACATAAAAAATATGACATCTTCATCTAGAAAGAGTGAGTAAGTATATTTGGAAACAATATGATTAATGATAATTCATGTTTCACCTTGTGATTGCACACAGTCTGCAGTAAGTCTCTGAGTGATCTATAGTGCACACAACTGAATGTGGGTTTCACAAATCAGTGCAAAACTGATCTAATAAAAATATCTCCACTGAAGATTACACAGAGAGCTAAAGAGGCATCAGATCCTTTCATTCAAGTGCCTTGAGAATGCCTGTAGAGGGCACACTTGTACTACCTTCACACAGCACACATGCAAAAAAAGTCACACAGTTGCGCTCCCTTTCTTCATCTCTCATCAGTGGTGTGGGATTTGCAGGACTGAAGGCCAGTAGAGTGAGCCTCCTCCCTCAAAGGATACTTTACTTGTGCATTACCCCTTGGTCTTTTTTCAGTAGTTGTGTCCACCTTTCCTACTGGTTATAAAAACATAGACTCCAAGTTAATTGCTGAAGTTGGGAGCATGGCAACATCTCTACCACAAGGTCTGACGAGTCAAGAAACACATGTGACGGGTGTGAGACAAGCCAACAGTTTATCCAGATTATCTAAACCACTTTATTTTGAGGTAAACTAAAACACACCTTTACAGGGAAATATGTGTGCATACAGCTGCAGTAAAGCGTTTAGTATGCTTGAAAGTGTTCCCTCCTGTTCTGAATGCCTACACTTAAAGGTGGGGTGAAAAGCCTACCTCCCTCTATGATCTCTCTCCAGGTCTTGATGAAATGAATTTTGCAAATACAGATGACACACACTTAGTTGTTCATGTGAAAAGTGGTGGAAGGAGAAGTGTGAAGAATGAAAAAGAAGAACGTGAGAGAGAAATTTTAACCTTGTCTGCTCTCACACCTCCACACATCTGGTCAATTACTGTGGAAGTGATTGGCTGTTTGGAAAAGTTGTTGGATGCTGGATCCCCTCCAATTCAAATCAGACCCTTTGTTTGAAGCATACTGATGTCCTCAGGAGAGTGGTGTGTCTGTAAAGTGGGATAGATTTTTGGTGACTAACCCGCTGGTTTGTTTCCAACCTGTCTGACAGCTCTTGTTTCCTGACCTGGTCTTCTTTTTATTGATGTCACGTGTTCCCAGATCTCAGCTACTAAATTGGTAAGTACAATCATTTATTTTAGCGAAATAATGGTCAAAACTACCAAACAAAACCCAAATTGTAATAAACCGGAATTATCCTTTTATAAGACACTAGTCTCACAGAGACCAAAACAGATGGTGTTTGGGTGCTCTTCATCGGTCACATTTCTCAGCCAGATTTGGAGGTTCCTTTGGACTGGGTTAGGCCTCATCAGCCTGTTACAACACATTTAGTTTAGAAATGCATGACATTGAAGGAGGAGCCCCAGAGTGGGGACACAGGCAGTGTGTGATGACCCACACACGAGTTATCAGTGAACTACTACTACTTTACTTGTGCGCTTTCTGTTCTGTCACATGTCTTTATACATCTGCACCTTTTTACATTGTCTCCTTATGAGTATATAGTATTGTTTCCTAAGCTGTGACATTTTTTAAGACTTTTTATTCTAGAAGTGTATGCAAACACTGGTCTATCAGTGAATACAGTAGCATTTGCATCCCTATTATATTCCTTTTTCACCTTCAAGACCCTGCTTCCATTTCAGGTATTATAGAAAAAAAGGAGAGACACAATTTAAAACAAAAAAAACAGAAACATACATATAAGAGAACATACATTGTTGAAGCACTGAGACAAATATCAGT